GTGTTTCTTGATTGGTTGGGGCACAGAGAGCATTATAGCCCCCGGCGCCTCCCCCGCAATAACGTAACGCCCCCGCCCCCCCGCCCCCAGTGCGACCGGGGCACTGCCGCTGTGCGCGGGATCCGCATAGGCGTCCGCATAGGAATCCGCACAAGGGTCTTGTCCGTCGTCGTCGTCGTCGTCGTCGTCATCGCCGTCGTCGTGTTCGTGGTCGTCGTCGTCGTCATCGTCACTGTGGCTCGTCGTTCGTCGCTCGTCGCTCATCATCGTCGCGCGCGCGGACGCGGCTGGAGCCTGTTTTTTCAAACTATGACGTTCCTTCGCAAGCACATCGTCCTTGGCACCGCCTGATTCCGGGGCTTTGCCCCCTCTTGGCCTTGATGTGAGGCCCATCTTTCTGCCCCCCTCTCTTTAATTCAAGCTGTGCGCGGCCCGCTTAGCTTCGACCGGAAGAGGTGCGCTCTCGACCCGCGGATCAAAAAATGTTTCCACACTATCCTGTGGTGTTGGGTCCTCGTTTTGAAGAGACAGCGCCCCGCGTTACTCCTCCTGCTCCCCCTCCTCCTCCCTCCTCCCGTCGCCCCCCTCACTTTGACACAGCCCTCACACGTTTCGTGGCCCCACAGGGAACTCCACCGAAGGTCCCAGTGGCGCAGCCCGCATGAGTCACGCACACCCATTTTGGCACCCCTCACACGCTTCAGGTCCCATTGGCGCGGCCCGCATGCGTCACGCACACCCATGCCGGCACACCCCTCACACGTTTCGTGGCCCCATAGGGAGCTCCACCGAAGGTCCCAGTGGCGCAGCCCGCATGCGTCACGCACACCGATTTCGGCACACCATTCACACGTCATTTGGCCCCATCAAGAGCTCCACCGAAGGTCCCAACGGCGCGGGCCCGCATGTGTCACGCACACCGATTTCGGCACACACCTCACACGTTTCGTGGCCCCATAGGGAGCCCCACCGCCCGCATGCGTCCGCAACAGCCATGTCGGCAGACCCCTCACACGTTTCGTGGCCCCATAGGGGACTCCACCGAAGGTCCCAGTAGCGCAGCCCGCATGCGTCACGCACACCGATTTCGGCAGACCCCTCACACGTTTCGTGGCCCCATACGGAGCCCCACCGAAGGTCCCAGTGGCGCAGCCCGCATGCGTCACGCACACCGGTTTCGGCAGACCCCTCACACGTTTCGTGGCCCCATACGGAGCTCCGCCGAAGGTCCCAGTGGCTCAGCCCGCATGCGTCACCCACACCCATTTCGGCACACCGGTCACACGCTTCGTGTCCCCAAGGGGAGACACCCATCACACGTTTCGTGGCCCCACAAGGAGGCACCCCTCACACGCTTCGTGGCCCCATAGGGAACTCCACCGAAGGTCCCAGTGGCGCAGCCCACATGCGTTACGCACACCCACTCCAGCACACCACACGCTTCGCGGCCCCATAAGGAGCTCCACCGAAGGCCCCACCGCCCGCATGCATCCGCAACAGCCATGTCGGCGCACGCCTCACACGCTTCGTGGCCCCATAGCGAGCTCCACCAAATGCCACAGTGCCGCCGACCGCATGCGTCCGCCTCACAGATTTCGGCACACCCCTCAGACGTTTCGCGGCCCCACAGGGATCTCTACCGAATGCCCCATTCACACTTGTGGTTCGCACAACTGCATATGGTTGGGTCCGTCGCCAGGCTAATTAGTTCTGGGCTGATGAGGGCCGTCATCTGGGGGGGGGCGATGTCGTCGCGTTTCGCGCCGGCGGCGTCTGGGAATGCTTAGGAATGACCGAGGACGGGTAGCAGTAGCATGTAGGTGGCGATCTGCGCCACAGCGCCTGCGTACACCACACCGCCTATGTACATCACAGCATCCGCGTGCAACACATCGCAAGTTTGTGCCACAGTGTCTGCGGGCACTACAGCGTTTGTGTAAACCACAATGCTTGCGTGCACCACAGCGCCTATATACACCATGGCGCTTGCGTGCTCCGCAGCAATCGTATGCAACAGAGAGCACCACTGTATCAGATACAGTTGTCGAATCCTTATGACAAAATGGATCGCCAGTGGTTTCCACAAAAAACAGTTGTTTTATGTAGAAATTGGAGAAGGAGGCCTTCTGGAAAATGGGGCGCCGCTGGGATCTACAAGTCTTCCCGAGTCTTCCCGCATCATCGAAGTTCTTCTCAACTGCGTCCGGGAAGCTCCAGCAGAATTCGCCGCCCGAAACCAAGTGGGCTGATTCAATGGGCCATCCTGCGATTCACGTTGAGGTGCGCACGTGCTCTCTAGCGCCGACCCGCACGACAAGGGGGAAGGGTGAACGAGGTGGAGGAGGAGGAAAAGTATAGTGAAGTTGAAGAGGAGGGAGGGGGAAAAGCGTCGCATTCTATTATCCGCACTTCCTTGGCGTGGTGTTTAGCTGTTCGCTGCAGATCCTCACCTATATGCTCCTTCTACCTGTCCAGTGCACGCAGGCACGGTGGTGTACACCAGCGCTGCGTTGCACGCGGATGTTGTGGTGTAGACAGGCGATGTGGTGTGCACATGCGCTGCGGTGCACGCAAGCATTGCGGTGTACACAGGCGCTGTGTTGCACATGGTTGTTGCGGTGTGCACATTCGCCGTGGTGTACGCAGGTGCTGTGATGCACGCAAGCAGTGTGGTGTACACAGGCGCTGCGCTGCACACGGCTGTCGCAGAGTACGCAAGCGCTGTGGTGTACACGCGCGTTGTGGTGCACGCGAGTACTGTGGTGCACAGGCGTTGTAGGGCAGATCGCCACCTATACGCTTCTCCTAGTTGGGCCCGGCCATCCCTAGACATTTCTGCACGCCGCTGGCATGGAACGTGACGTCATCTGGGGGGGGCGGGGCCGATTTCGGCCGGTATCCTGGAAAATAATAAAAGGTCACTGCGGTGCTGGAACCACACGGCGGGGGAGAGAGCGTTATTTTATACCCCCCCGTCCCCCCTCTATAACGCCCAGTATCGCCGAAACTGAGAAACAAGCTCTACGGCCGCGCGTAGGCGCCTTCGTTTCCAATGCGACGTGCTGCGCCGACTGCATGGGTAAACCACCGCTTAAGGTCGCTATGCCATCTCGCGTAGAACCTGTTGTTGATCCTCGCTCACCTGGAACCTCCTATTCGATTTCGAATTCGCTCTTGGAGTGCGCTGGCCATGATGCAGCAGCCCATGCGCGGCTGCTGGGCATCCTGCTGCGCAACCCTGGCATCCTTGGTGGTCGCCTTTTGCGACCATGGGGAGACGCGGTGACCAGCTTCCCCGAAGCGCTCACCGATTGGCACATGTCTGGGCCGAGAGCGTGTTGGTGATGCTGAAACTTCGTAGGCAGGCGGCGCGGTGGCACGATGGACCGCTTCCGATTCTGGAGCGACGCTCAGGCTCACGTCCGGGACCACGGAGCGGTTGATTGCGAGGCAGGTATGGGATCCATCTACGCGATGGTGTGTTGGGAGTGTCGGGATGTGCCAACATCGCAAGGGTTGCGCAGACTTTCAGAGGCTGTCAGATGCGCGAAATTTTCTACGTGATCGACAGACCCCCACCGCAGGTCTCAGGCTGCCGGCGACGGGGGCGCCGAGGAGTCGGGCGGCGGCGAGGAGAAGAGTTGCGGCCGAGAGGGCGCGGCCACGGAGGGTGGCGCAACCTCCTGAGCTTCGCGCCCACTGACGCAAGCGCCGTCCTCGCCGACCCGAGTCGCGACCACGGCTACACCATGATGCGTGCCACGATTCCCGATCTTGCCGCGGAAGAGGAGGACAGGGACGGCGCGGCGTTGAGACAGGGGCCACCTCGTTGCAAGCTCGAGCGCGGACAGCGCGACACGCTTCCTGTCCCATTCAACAGCGTCGGGTATATTCAGTGGCGGATCGAGGCAGCATTTTGTCGCGCGCTCAGTCCACCGACGCAGGTTTCGCAGCGCTCATGCCGAGGAGATGGTCGACGTGGTCGTCAACATGCTCAACGAGCTCTACTTGGAGCTGTCTGTGCCCTCTGTCGGCATCCACTGGGCAACAATAGGTCGCGCGCAATGTTCGAGATGCTGCACTTCAGAGGCCCTGGAGGAGCTCAGAGTCCTCGGCGACTGCGCCGCCGAATCCGCGACGGTCGCTCCGCAGAGCTTTGGTCACATCAACGTGTCGTCGCTTCCAGAAAGGGCGACTCCCGTGCCTCGCGCAAATCTCGCTGGAGGAGCAGGCCGTCGTGTATTTTCGGGAGCCTTGAGACGGGGGTCAATGCAAACGGGGGTCATCCAGAGCGCCCGATCTTGCAGGATCCTGCAGGGTCAGGGTAGCACTGGCCCGGGTTTGGGTGCAGGATCCTGCAGGATCCCTCGCATTGACCCGGGTTCGGGTGCAGGATCGTGCAGGATTCTGGAAGGCTTGATTGACCCGGGTCTGGATTGACCCGGGTCAGAAGTTCCCCGATAGTTGGGCGGCTGCTGACACGATGTTGTCGCAGTTTGAGGGTCGGGCCCGCGTCGCGGCCGAGTGGCCGACGAGGCTCCGCGCCGACCCCGCGCTCGGGGGCCCCAAGCTGCACGCGCAAGTGCTTAGGGTATTGTAGCGCCGCTCCCTTTGGACTCCAGTGCGTGCAGGATATGCAGCGCTGCCGTGTCTTCGATTTTCAGAGGTCGGGCAGGCTCTGGCGCGACCTGGATGGGGGGGCGCGCGTCGCTGCACTCCTCTGCCGGGACCCCGACATGGTCACCTTGGCCACTGGCGCTGGCTTTGCGGGTCTCCGCGTCGACACAGGGAAGCCGATCGCTACGGCCATCGTTTCCGTAGGTTTTGGCAATGTGTCCGCCCGTTGGGTTGCGTGTCCGCCCATGAGCCTTGCTTGAAGATGGGTTGCGTGTTGCCGTTTGGCCCTTGCGCCTCCCCTTCCCCCTCGGACGACGACGACGACGACGACGCAGTCGACAACGACGACGCCGGCGACGACGACGGCGACGGCGACGACGACGAGGAGGGCTCTTGGCCTCTTGTCCATCCCGGCCGCAGCCGCGCGCCTTCGAGCCACGACGCCCCCGCGGCTCGCGCGCGCGCCCGGGATGGACGGGGCGCGCGGCTCAGGCGTTCGGCGGGCGGCGCGGCGGCAGACGCGACGACGGCGGCGGCGGCCTGGCGTGGGGGTCCGTCCAGCGCTCCGGCGAGCTCAAGCCTTGGATCCCGGGGGAGCTCCCGTGTCTCAGCCTCCGAGGGCGGTTGCCCGGCCCTGGGCCATGGACATGGATCTGGTCCGGATGTAGCTGCTACCACAGATCGGAGGTCCTGTCACGGGGAGAGGAAGAGCGATCCGAGCCTCCCGAACGGAGCTGGAGCAGAAGGGGTCAGAGAATGTGCCGCATTGCCGAAGCATCGCTGGTGCGGCACGATCTGGAGCCCGACTTTCTCCATCCCAGCGTCGCCGATGCATCGCCCATGCGGTTTAATCTTCCTACTCCATCAGCTCTGACCTGATATTAGCGGCCTCTTGAGGCTCGCCCTCTTATTTGCCTGGTCGTAGGCGTTCGCCCAGAAGTGTCATTGCTCTCATCGTAAAACTGGGCGGCCTCCAGAGAAAGGGTAGAAGGAGGAGGAGGATGAGGAAGATCAAAGAGGAGGTGTGGAAGTGGGAGGAGGTATGGATGATGCGGAAGGGGAGGAGCATGAGGGGGAGGCAGGCGGGATGCGAAATGAGGGATGCGGGAGCAGGATGATGATGATGATGATGATGATGATGATGATGATGATGATGATGATGATGATGATGATGATGATGATGATGATGATGAGGATGAGGATGAGGATGAGGATGAGGATGAGGATGAGGATGAGGATGAGGATGAGATGAGGATGAGGATGAGGATGATGAGATGAGGATGAGGATGAGGATGATGAGGATGAGGATGATGAGGAGAGGATGAGGAGGGAGAGGAGGAGGGAGGAGGGAGGAGGAGGAGGAGGAGGAGGAGAACAGGAGAGGAGGAGAACGGGGAGTAGGAGGAGTAGGATGAGTAGGACTAGGAGGAGGAGGAGGAGGAGGAGGATCATTAGGAGGAGGACCGGTGGGGACAAAGAAGGAGGACGAGGAGGGAGGAGGAGCAGAGGGAGGAGGAGAAGGAGAAGGAGGACGACGACGAGAAGGACGGGCAGGACCGACGACGAGGAGGAGGAGGAGGAGGAGGAGGAGGGGGTGGCAGGGGGAAGGAGAAGAGGGGGGCGAGGGAGGGAGGGAGGCATGGAGGCAGCGGAGGGGGCAGGAGGAGCAGGGAGGTGGCGAAGGAGGCCGGGAGGGACCCGGAAGGCCACGAGGAGGGGCCCTGCCCTCCCCTATCCTTTGCCGCAGGCGCCGTCCCCGCTCGGCCCCGCGCCGGCCCGGGCCGCGGCTTGCGCGGGACCCCCCCGCCCCGCGCGCCCCCTCCTCCTCCTCCTGTCCTCCTCCTCCTCCTCCTCCTCCTCCTCCTCCTACTCCTCCTACTGCTCCTGCTTCTCCCCCGCGCGCCCCCTCGACCGCGGCGCGCGCCGGTCGCCGCCTGTCTTGGCCGCGGCCGCCGTCGGTCGTCGCGGGCGTCGTGGGCATCGCCGTCAGCGTCGTTTTCGTCGTTATCGGCGTCGTGGTCGACGACCTGGTCCTCGTGGCCATCGTCGATCGATCGAGGCTTGTTCGATCCAGCGTGTTTTTCCCCAGTGTCGGCCTCTGGGGGCCGTTCTCGGGCCCAGGGACGATCGACATGGATCTGGGACGAGAAACTGCCCTGGTGAAGGGTTCGAGACTTCTCGCCGTTGTCGTTGTTCTCGTTAATGAAGGTTTTTTTTTTCAAAACAAAAACCGCTCCCCGGACCCCCTCAAAATGTTTGAGTGGGGCGGACTAGTAGAATTCAGCCGCTGGAGACTGTTTTTTTATGTCCGCCCCCCAGCGTTTGCTTTTGCCCCTTTGGGGGACCTGATTTTCTATTAGTCCTCCTTCGCTCGCTTGATCACCCGCGGCCGCGGGGGGAGGACTGCGGAGGGGGGACGGGGCAATTAGGGAGTAGTTGAAGGAAGGGGTTTTCGAAGAGGCGCTTGATCACCCTCGTCCTGGCGGACTGCCGCCAGTCGTCCTTGCGGACGGCCGCGGCGATTGGGAGGTGGGTGATGATGATGATGATGATGATGAGGAGGAGGAGGAGGAGGAGGAGGAGGAGGAGGAGGAGGAGGAGGGGGGAGGACAAGCTAGGTGCGCTCGCGTCATATATGACAGCCTACCCCTCCCTCCCATCCCTTACCATGGCGTAGATCAGGGCAATGATCCCGAAAGGGTACGCGATGCATTGTAGAGCACGGCGTGGCATGGCGTTGAAGAGCACCGCAAAGCGTAGTATGTCACAGCGTGGCGTGGCGTGGCGTAGTGAAAAATTGCATCACAAATCTTTGCAACGCAAGGCATGGCATCGCACAGCGGCCCCGAACATAACATTGCATCGCATGGCGTGACGATCAGAACGTAGCATGGCAGAGCACGACGTGGCACGTAAGCACTCCTCCTCCTCCTCCTCCTCCTCCTCCTCCTCCTCCTCCTCCTCCTCCTCTTAATTATTCTTCCTCCTCAGCTGCGAGGACGTCCGAGCGGGAACCGCCGCGTGGTTCATTATCTCCATATCCTGCCTGCGCTCTTCTTGCCACGCACGCGTTCATCGTCTCCCTGGGTGCCGCCACGAGGAACGAGGGGCGCATCGAACGAGTAAGGGCGCTTGGCCCCGGAGAGCGAGTAAGGGCGCATCGAACGAGGACGAGGCGGAAAAGGACGAGGAGGAGGGGGAAAATGAGGACCAGGAGGAGGACGAGTAGGAGGAGGAGGAGGAGGAAGAGGGGGAGGATGATGATGATGAGGAGGAGGAGGAGGAGGAGGAGGACGAGGAGGAGGGAGGCGGATTAGAAGGAGGAGGAGGAGGACGACGAGCTCGCCCTGAAAAATCACCCCGCCCACCCCCCTGGCCCCCGCGCCCTGGATCGCCACCCCGCGCCCCCCCCTGGCTTTCCAGGCGACCCGGAATTGTCAGCCCCCCGTCTGCCTGTCCTGCCCCCCCGCTATTGCGGGGGCGAAAGGGCCCGCGAAACAATTTGTTCAATCGTCCGCCCCAGAAAGTTTTTAAACCGTTTCCCTTCATTCGTGTCCACGCCCGCCGCTGAGCCGAGGAGTCGGCTGGTGGGGCTGGTCTGCGGCGCCGCGGGCTCGTTCCTGGCGCTCGCCGCCAGCGCGAGGCTCCTGAACCAGCAACACGGCATCAATGATACAGTCGAACCGAGGTATATGATCGAGGTCGGTTCGGGGAGGGTGCCCTCATGTTTTTCGTATATGTTGGATATTATTGTGCACCCTGGGGAGGGTACCCTGGGATGTTCTGTGCAGTTTGGCCTGCGGAGGGTCTCGTGCTTGTATGGGGGTGAATTCTGTGACGTGCCGCAGGGGGGGAGAGCGCAGAAGGAGCAGGCGTTTTCAGAGGGCGGCGGGGCTTCTCAGAAGCCCTCGCGCCTGCTGAAAAGTTTCCTGTGTCTTCGGGGAAGGTTCGGACGACTTCTCGAGATGGCAGGCCCCTTCTGACTTCCCCCTTCGCTCGCCGCCAATCCTTGCTCGCAAGAGTAAAGGCTTCTTGAGTAGGGTTGAGGGTCAGATATCGTCATCCTGTGCAGGACCACCGACAAAATGGACGTCAAGGTTGTCAAACGCGTCGCCAATTAAGCCGGCGAGGAAGTGCAACATCCAACCATTCGATTATGTCCAAAGTTTTGGTTTTCGTGCTTGACGCTGGGTGTGGTGCATCCATTTCAGCTTGGCCGAACAGGTTGGTTGCGCCCCTTGACGTCAGTTTGGGGTGTTCTGCAGACCTGACCCACCAACCCTACCCAAGGGAAAATCGGGCCGGTCGAAAGGGGGGGATTGGGATAAGGGGGGGTCCGAAATTTGCTGCATGCATCTGGTTTCGGCCTCGCTGAGGGCCCCACTCCTCGATACATAGCCGCCTCCGGCGCCGGGAAAATCAGCTACATGAGCTAATTCTCACCCCCCCCTTTGCTATCCCCCCTTTCGCCCGACCCGAGAAAAAACAATGGCGTTAGTTCCGCATGCCCGCCCCGACGCCGCCCAGAGGCACAGAACCTTCGTCGCGGGGGCAGACGTCCACGCGAGGCCTCGCACCGGCGTAGGAGCTCGCGGCCGTTGGGGCGGGGCCGTTCTCTGCTGCATCTCCACAGCATCCTCGTCCGGGCGACGACGACGACGACAACAATGACGACGACGACGACGACGAAGACGAGGACGACGACGACGAGGACGAGGACGACGAGGACGATGACGACGACGACGACGATGACGATGACGACTCGTGCACATTTCCACCGCAGCTTGGAGTTTCGGGTTTTTTTCCCGAGAAAGCCCGAGGCGCACTGGATATGGATCAAACATCTGGCCTATGGAGGCTCGATCTTCATCCATACCGGGCATGCGCCTCGGCCATGTGGTGCCCCCTCCAAGAAAGTCCAAGACGCATTGGATAAGGATGTAAACTTTGCTCGCGCCCCCTTCCTTGTCCTCCCGCTCTACCGCCCTCTCCTCCTTCTAATCCCCCTCTGCGCTTGTCTCTTGTCCGTCTCCCCCGTCTGGCCGCTTTCCAACGACCCCGCTCACATCTACGCACCTCTTTCCTTGACATCGCTCAGACGTGTGCATTCTCTCTCGGCGAGGGTCATCGAGGAGCCGTTGGGGTCGTCTTGCTAAGCAAGTCCGCGCACGACGCCGACAAAGTCCCGGGGGCATGGACGTCAACCCTACCCAGAAGGCGAGTTTCTCAAGGCGCCACCTTCACCCAGACACCCAACCCCCTAATACTCCCCAAGGCTGGACCTAAACGGTGTTTGGGGTGATTTCGTGGGCCGCTTTCGCTTCGACTTCGTTTTGCGGCAAAGGCGGATTCGAGACGAAAGCGAGGGAAAGCGACCACAAACGAAAACGAACAGCACAGTTTAGGTGCAGCCCTGGTGCTCCCTGCCCCCCCCTCGCACCCCCTGTGTGCTCCCTCCTCGGCCACCGCCCCCCCAGGACGCAGGGCCGAGGGCGAGGGTGCCGGGAGACCGACCGCCAGGATAGCGAAGGCTGCGGCGCCGCCGTCGCCGTCGCCGCCGTCGGCCCACGACGTCGTCGTCTTGTCGTCGTCGTCGCTGTTGTCGACCCACGACGTCGTCGTCATTTTCCATCGATTTTCGGACGGTCCTGGAGGTCCTCGTCGCCACGGCTGGACGCAGCTCGTCAAGCTGGCCAGGATGGATCTTGGGAGGGTTCCAGAGACCCATATCGAGCCCATGTTCGTTGTCGTCGGCGTCCTCGCAGCCGTCGTTGCCGTCGCCGTCGGTCGATAGAGAGTCGTTCGATCTAGGACTTGTTCCCAGGTCTAGACTTTGGGGGGGGGTCAGGCTCGGGGACCGTCAGAGATGGGTCCGAGGCGGAAAATTGCCCCAGGAAAGGAGTCGAGACTTCATAACGCGCCGCCGCCGTCGTACAGTCGGGCTTGATTCGAGAGGACACGCGAGAGGGCACAAGACCCTTTCGAGGGCCACATCGCCATAGAAATGTACGAAGCATGGGTCGCGAGACACAGGACACAAGGGTACCCTTGATCTGGCAGGGTCGACCTACTAATCTGGGCCGCCTGTATTGGTTTCCATCCTCGTCCCTCCATCCTTCGTCCTCCTCGTTTTCCTCCTTGCCTCCCTCCTCCTTCCTCCATCCGCCTTTTCCTCCTCTTTTGTTGCCTCTCTGTGTCTCTCTCTCTCTCTGTCTCTTTCCCTCTCGCTCTCTCTCTCTCTCTCTCCCTCTCTCTTTCTCGCTCTCTGCTTCTCTGTTTATTTGTTTGTTTTAGCTCTCTCTCTCTCTGGCTCTCTCTCCTTCCCCCTCTCTCTCTGTCCCTCTCCTCCCTCTCCGCCCGGGCAGCCCGGCACGCCATGCAGCAGCAGCCCTTGCGTCAACGGGTGCGGCCCCGCCGGAAGGGAGCCTGGAGCACCACCGCAGGCGGCATCTGCGGGATCTCCGCCACGACGGTCAACCACGGCCTCTCCGTGGCGCCCCGCCGTGGCGTCATGTGCCACGAGCGGGCGCCCCGCCGCGGCGTCATGTGCCAGAGTCAACGCGGCGCGCGTGGACCACCCCTCCTCCTCCTCGTCTCCTTTTCCTCCCCGTGGTTTTCCTTCTCTTCTCCTCCTCCTCCGCCTCCTCCTCCCCGTGGTCCTCCTCCTCCTCCTCCTCCTCCTCCTCCTCCTCCTCCTCCTCCTCCTCCTCATCCTAATCACCCCCTGCGCGAGAGCTTGAGGCGGTGGTTCGGCAGGCCGATCGGCGACATCGTGGAGGACCTCTGTGTCAGTGCATGGCGTTAGGGTGCGCTGAGGCGGTTGACCATTTTCGTCGGGTGCGAGGAGGCTGAGTTTGAGAAGCGCCAGCGGATGGACCAACGACACGCGAAGGAGCTACGCAACATCGTTGATATGTTCCGCAGAGCCCCCGGCGACAGGCAGTTCGTGGGTCCACGGCGCACGCCTCGGTTCTGTACCCGCACCGGCCCACAAGTCGGAGTATTGGAGCTTCTTGGTGGCAGTCCTGTTGCGCAAGCGCTTGGTTGTCCAAAGGACGGGTCCCTCGCGGAAGCCGCGCCTCGAGGTGCTACGGTTGCGACGACCGTTGTGCGGCCAGTGTGATTGGGGCAGGTGCCCGCCCAGCGAGAATATGGACATGTTCGACTGGTCCCTGTGGAGCTTGGGGAGACCCGCGGCGTAGCGGTGAGTCGCGGGGACTGCCGTCACAGTGCACGACTGCTGGGGCCCACGATGGGGCGGGTCGGCTTCAGCGGCATCGACGAGTACGGCGCGGTGGAGAGCCACGGGGTCTACCATCACAGTGCGCGTGTTTGCGAGCTGCAGCAGGAACAGCACCACGCCATGTTCGAGCTCGGCAGCGTCGGCAGGGCGACCCAAAGTCCTGAGGAAACCCCCGCGCGAGGGAACACCTCAGGCGCCGCGTCGACACGCCGTGCTGGAGGCGTCAGATCGCGAAGTCCTGGGGAAGCCCCCGCGCGAGGGAATGCCCCAGGCCCGATGTCGCCACATCGAGCCGCAGCCTCGAAAGGAGAACGCTTCTCGTGGATGCGCACCCCGCGAGACAGACAGCCAGCCAGCCGCGGCCACGGACTACCACGCTCTCCTCGACGGGCTGGCCGACCTCGACGACGCTTCCTCGACGGGCTGGCCAACCTCGCGGGGCAGTGGGTCCCCGATCTGGACAGGCGCGACGAGGGGCACGACGGGTTGATGGCCCACTGCATGGAAGAGATGTCCGAGTTCCACGCAGCATAGCCGTTCCGCGCCCTCTTCGAGGACATGAGGCCAGAAGGGGGTCTGGCGCATGAGACAGAGAAGGGCAAGCGAGCTGTGCCAGGTCTAGGAGCCGTTCGCCGCCCGGAGCTGCTAGCCGCAGGGCGCCACCGTCTCCCTCGCCATCCCCGCCCAGATGGCTGAGGCACAGGCTGGCGCAGCTCACCGAGCGCGGCAAGACAGCAGCTGCGGCGGTTGCCCCGTCTGCTGGATTGCCTCTCCGCCTGCCGCGAGTCGATCGGGCTGCTGGGGCGACCGTGGGCCCTCAGAGCGCCGCAGGCCCGCGGCCCCGCCCGTGGGCCGCCGCTGGCGCGCGGCTGGGAAAGCGCGCCGCCGCTAGCGGGGCGACGCGGGCGGGGCCCCGCCAGCCAGGAGGGGCGGCGCGAAGGTCAGGGCAGGGCGGGGCGCAGCTCGCTGAACACCTCTCCCGCGACCGCCCCGCGGGGAGGAGCGCCGCGCAGCGGGCGGGGGCGGGGGGCGGGGGGGCGCCCGCCGAGCGGGACAGGGCCGCCGGCGCGGCTTCCCGCGGCGCCCGCGCCGCGCCAGGGGGGCCCAGCAGCGCCCCCCAGGCCGCGCGCAGGGGCGAGGAGCGGCCGGTCGCAGCTGCGGCCCACGGAGGGCGGGGAAGAGCCGCCAGCGCGGCGCCGCGCGGGGCCACTGCCGCGCCTGGGGGACCTTGCAGCCCTCGCAGGGCCGCGCGTGGCGGCGAGGAGCGCGCGGACGCGCCTTGGGCGCCGCCGTCGAGTGCGCCGCGGCCGCGCGCGGGGAGCTCGGCCGCGCGGCGGGCTGAGAGACATCTGGGGCCCTGGCGGTCGTCAGCCTGCTGGTGGCCGCGGGGCCTCTTTGATTGCGCCCCATCCACACCTCCTCCTCCTCCTCCTCCTCCTCCTCCTCCTCCTCCTCCTCCTCCTCCTCCTCCTCCTCCTCCTCCGTTTCCTCCTCTTCTTTTTTGGGCCATGTCTGCTCCGCCCCGCGCTGCTTCCGCGGCGACGGCCTCGCGACCGCGCGCCCGCCGCTCCGCCCGGGTTCGGCGACGAGCCCAGGGGGGGGGGGCGATGGGGGGCAGGCCTCGGAAGAAAACGGGGCTTCCCAGGCGCCCTCGCATCCTGAGAAGCCGCCTGCGGCGTCGGGGAAGGCTTGCAAGACTTCCCGGGAGGCGCGAGGGCTACTGGGGAGGCCTGCCCCCTCTCGCATTCCCCTGGGATCGCCGCCGACAGGCGCCCTTCCCCGCCCAGCCTGGGCCACAACTCCCAACTCGACCAGCGGCTGAACGAAGTCACGTTCACCGAAGACCCCGATGTCCAATTGCGCGATGCCGTCGCGCGGGCGCTCACGTCTTGAACGGGCACGTTGCGCAGCCCAACCCGCGACCTCCTCAAGTGCTGGACCACCCTGCTCGGGGCGAGCGTAGCTGGCATCACGTGGATCTTCGAGCCCAGTGCCAAAAACAGATAACACTGATATTGCGCGTGGCTCACCTGGAACATCGCCCCGCACGGGCCCCAGACACCGCTCTTCCGCGCCACCCGAGCGGGGTTCACTCCGTCGATCAAGGCCCAGGACTGGGAGTCCAAACGAGGCCCGCGACGGCAAGCCACAGAAGTCAACCAGACCATGCGTCCTCGAGGGGGCCCGCGGAGCCGCAGGGCAGAGAGCCCCATCGTTCACCCCATGCTGTCCGCCGCCCCCTTCCCACGCGACGCCTCGGACCAAGCCCCGGAGGTCGTCGCCGTCGACGAAGGCGCGAAGGCGGTCGGACCAAGACCACCCGCCCCAAGCGACAGGTTCCGCGTCGCGTCGGAAAGGTGGCCAGCCACTTGGGCCAAGCTGGCATCGACGCGGGGCTCATTTCGGCCATGGCAGAACACTTCAACCGACGCGCCCATGAGCTCGCCACAGGAGCTGTCGCCCTCGCGGTGGCCGCCGAGGTCATCAGCCAAAGCCCGCCGCAAAATCGCCGCTGTCCTGCGCGGCGTGGCCGCTGCGACCAGCGCGCCCACGCTTGCGTGCCGCTGCCCCGCCGCTTCACAGGGCACACCGAAGGTGAACTTCGGCGGATGGGCCTCCACCCGTCCAACGGCGGTGGCCCCCTGGCTTCCCTGCGGACGACTGGGCCGCTGCTATTCACCTGGCTGACTTAGAGGAGGCATGGGGCGAGTGCCACCTGGACACTGAAGACGACTGTGCTCTCTTCGATTCGTAGGCGCCCTCGATCACCGCGACGATGACCCGCCCGCTTCCCTAGAGCGGACAGGGCCGCCGCTGCGGCAGCAGCGACGGCTCTCCATCTTCCCTCCCTTTCACGGGGGTGAAAGCCTATTGGCCAGATCGACTTAGGCACGCCGAAAATAGGCTTGGGGCTGTCCTCAACGGGCCCCCGGGTGCCCTGCGCAACGCTGACGCCCGTGTACCCTCGTCGACAGGCTTGACCGATGCGTCAATCCACAGGCTCGCGGCCCTCCCTCGGCCCACGCGGGTCTCCACTCCCTGGGCGCGACTGTCCCAGGCTGCACCGAGGTAGATCGCAAAGATCGAAAGAGCGCGTTCTGCGGTCGCTTGGGGAGGGGGGGGTTGCTGCTCCCCCCCCCCCTCCCATCCCCTACTTCTCTCTCCCTCTCCTCGACTGGCGACAGCGGCGGCGGGGGCGACGATTTAATTTTTTGGGCCGGCGCCGGCGCCTCCTGCGGCGGGCGGCGGCGGCGGGGAGCGTCGACGAGGACGACGGTGGTGGTGGT